TAAAATTCAACTACACGATACTTATCCCATAACATGTAATATTGCCTGAACTTCCAACTCATATCAGTTTCTCTGCTGCTTGCCTACTCAAATATTTTCTATAGTTATTAAAATTAAAATCATAAGTAGGTATCTATGTGATATTCAAAAAAAAGGCAGGTAAGTGGATGTCGCTCAGCTGTACAGTAGGTTACAAGTTGGTCATTGTTTAATGGATTGTATTAAACTTGAATTCAATGATATAATATCATTGTATAAGAAAAACGATTCTGAACGGAGACGGTTTGTCAGTCTGTATATTTTATATTGTCATTAATTATTTTATTTATTTAATTATTATTTTAGATTCTGAGCGGAGCGAGGAAGCTAGTGGTTTTACAATGGTGTTTATTTTATTTTATTTTTTTTTTAATTTTTTTTTTTATATCCTGTATACAAAATTTCTACCAGAAGGAGTGCTTTGATTTCAACATATAGTACCTTATCTTTTAGCAAATTGGACCAAGATGGTACTTTAGAGAGGTCATTTTTCGATTTTCTCAATAGTTATATAATGCCACGGGAAAAACCACCGAAAAATTACGAAAAACCATTTAAAATCGGATTTAAATTTCTAACGCTTTGTTTATCACCATAGAAACGAATAAAAAATTATAATATTAATTCAACTTACATGATATAATAAATAATAACTATATAAAATATCCAGACTGACAAACCGTCTCCGTTCAGAATCGGTTTTCTTATACAATGATATTATATCATTGAATTCAAGTTTGATACAATCCATTATACAATGACCCACTTGTAACCTACTGTACAGCTGAGCGACATCCACTTACCTGCCTTTTTTTTTTATTCGTTGCTACGGTGATAAACAAATTGTTAGAAATTAAAATCCCATTTTAAGCGGTTTTTCGTAATTTTTCAGTACTTTTTCCCGTGGCATTAAATAACTATTGAGAAAATCGAAAAATGACCTCTTTAAAGTACTATCTTGATCCAATTTGCTAAAAGATAAGGTACTATATGTTGAAATCAAAGCACTCCTTCTGGTAGAAATTTTGTATACAGGATATAAAAAAAAAATAAAAAAAAAAAAAAAAATAAACACCATTGTAAAACCACTAGCTTCCTCGCTCCGCTCAGAATCTAAAAAACATTTATAATATTATATAGAAGGTAAAATAAAAATAATTAACTTATGCATTAAATAACTTGCAATAATGTGCTATAATAATATGTTGAAGATTTAAACGTTTAAAATATAACTAACTACCTAATAATTACAAAAAAAAAAAACCAAAGTAAATACCTAACCTTGGCCCCCTACACGAACATGTTTACTTGAAGAATAAATGAAAAAAAAATGCCCATGGCTTACATATATATATATAAATAAAATGTATGGGTAGTTTTAATTCTGGTTAAATTTAAAAAAATTAATATAGATATAAGTTGTATTTCTGTAATTATATAGAAATAAAACAAAATCGTGTATAAAATAGTATTAGTAGTGTAAAATAATTGAATCCGTCTGCTCAAACTCTTAAGTATCTAGAACTGTGATTAACGACAATTTCTATTTAAAATATTTTCGTTTTGCTATTAACCCGTCACCACGTCTTGCTTGGTGTAAATATTTTTCCCCAAAAAACTTGACATGTGCCTAAATATGTTGTCGGGTTTCTAACGAGTTTGCATCATTCAGCACATTCCAGTCACATAACTGACAATACATTTATGATAAAAAAAATTTATCTATGCAAGTTTATATAATATACCGGGGTAGGTTGTGTGAGTAAAAGCGGTATAGCGGAAACCACGCGAGTTGTCACGGGTTAAAAATTACCTACTGCATACACACGCGTTATTTATTAACAATCTTGAAATTCGAATGATACTAATAAATTGGTATATCGTACCAAATATTTATAAAATTAAAAATTTAATATTTATCATAGTGCACATACACATAATGTATTATAAATGTATAATGTATAAGAGTGCTGTAATTTCTTTAAATGGTAATATATTAAAGGATGCGTAAGGAAGAAAACGTGTCATGACTTCAGTTGAATACATCGAAAATCTGGATAAGTTAACGAAAATATATATGGTTTAAATAGGTACTTAAACTATAAAGTAATATAAATTAAATATCCATGGTTACAAAATGAACAAGTATTAAGGAACATTTGTCTTCATTGATAAACTAAGTTCCGTGGGACTCATTATCTTCTTGAAAAATAAATATAAATAGACTATAATCATTGCCAAATTATGTAATACTCAAAAATTAATAGGTCATACAATGTTGTGCACTTTAAATCAAACAAGGTGCTACATAAACTATATATATAATATGCCTAAAAATGCTCTACAATATTTCGAGAGTTAAACAAAAGTAAAATTAGATTCCATTTTTTATTATATTAAAAATGTGCCGTTATTTATGAAGTGCCAAAAAAACAAAAATCATATTAAACTTAACTTGTTTCTTTTCGTATATTTTAAAATTAAAAATTATGTACATATATTTTGACATTCTTCACCACCTATCTCACCAAATTCAACCCATCTCAACACAAACTAATATAATTAAGAATATACCAAAATAAAGGAAATAAACTACGCAAAATACGCCGTTGTATATTTTGTATATCATATACAACATAGTATAAATAACCTTCGTTAACGTTTTGTTTTTTACGTGACATAAATAATATAATCTAACTCGAAAATCCCCGTATGCAGATAATTATTACATAGCCAGAATTTATAAAGACCAAAAAAAAAATGCATGAATATATTTTAAAATAATTAGTTGAGCGCTTAATTATATCTAAAATAATAACAACTTTCAACTTTTTGTAAAAGAAAAGAACACTTTTAATATTCATTATAAACGATCGTCAAACTAGCTCAATTAAAACAAAATAATAATAAAAATAAAAATAAATATATTACATTAGGTAAATATAATTAATTTTATAAAATATATGTGATTTTTTTTTTCAGAAGTATTAAAAATAGAATAATTATTGTTCGATAGCAAAATTAATTAAGTATTGCTAATCTTACAATATAGGCAGCTTCAGGAAATCAACATACGCATCGCCCAATGCACTCGAAGTACATTTTAGTATAGCCTGCTTTGATCATAATTGGCTTAGTCTTCCTGGATTTAGGGTTTTATCGTAGGGCTGACAACACAACATTGTAAAGAAAACTATGTTAAGAAACTAATACAAAAGCCTAGAACAACAGACAAAATAGTATCAACGAACGGAATCAGGGACAGATTATGGGATTTTAAGATTTTAACACGGAACACACTCAGTCTCTTCAGAACAAGTGAATTCCAAAATCTCGTACAGCCGTACAGGTATTGGCAAGCTATAACTTAACAATAGCAACGTTCCAGAAAATAAGATGCACTGGCGCTGAACAAGATATGTTGGGAGGAAGGGTTTACCATTATCAATCATGAAATAAGAAAAAAAAATTGAAACAGGATTTGTAATAGGTACACAAAAATTATCGTAGAAAATCAAACCCATACTGAGATAGGGGTACCATAAAACCAAGATTTGAACAGAGTAACGTAAAATTAATTCGTATTTAACGTGAGTTGATGTTAATAATCCTTTGAAAAATAAAAAGTCTACATACGTCAGAGTTAATTAAATCTAAGCAGAGATAGTAACATATAAATCAAGAGCAGAGAATCTAACACATTAATACAATACTATGCACTGTTAAAATACTTTAAATCTTAGTTATTCTCAAAGTGAACACAAACAAGACTTTTCATAGCACTGGTAAGACCAAGTTTAAAATATGGTGTTGAGTATGGCCACTAACAAAGCATATTGATAAAAGATTGATAACTTTTTAAAACAAGATTTTGAGTAAAATATATGGTCCTATTTTTGATAAGAGACAAAAGAGGAATAAGATATAATAATAATAAGTACAAGAAGAATTAATATGAGTGTCGTGGTTTACAAAGTTAGTAAAAAATCCAAAGAATTAAATGGTACAAAGTCTGGAAATGCAAAGAGAAATCACATAAAGAATAAATGCAGCAATTAAATGGAACCCAACTGGGAAGAGACTAAGAATCGTTGGATGGATAAAGTAAAAGGGGACAACAACTTTAGGTGCAAAAAACTGGAAAGAGCGCTTTCAAGATAAAGAATCTTTTAGGTTTTTTTAACAGCCACAAAGGATCTCGATGAACCGTAAATCGAAATACGAGACTATTAATATAACGCTAGTGGGTAGCAGGTACCAATATATTAATAGAACATAAAAAAGAAAACTTATAATAATAAGTAAAAACTATAATATTTATAACTTCACTTAAATTATATTTAAACTAACACAATTCAGTAAGTAATACTATAATAAAACAAATGAAGTTTAACGATATGTACCATTTATTTCTTATGGTTTTAAAGAAAAAAATTAAAAAAAAATCATTATTTTTCATGTAATACTTATCCTAATTTTGCATAGTACCAGCTATTTAAGTTCATTATTTTATTTTTATATTCTTTAAAACTTGGATCGTTTTCGTCTTCATATTTGTTTAATTTATTTAGTTTTTAATTTGTACTAAAAGTCGGTAGACAAGTAGACAACAATAATAGTACCTAGATTACAACTTGGATAGGCAGCCATTTTCATTTTGACAAAAAATGCAGTTATCCTATTTTTGCTTAGGACGGCAGTATAATATAATGTAATATTATTTTCTCACCATAATATATTATTACTATTATTACCACTTTTACAACAACGAAAAAACATGCAAACGCACACGAATTCTAAGCAGATGTCGTAACTATTATTTCTAGTGCGTCGCGAGACGTTCACGGCGGAGTTTCAAACGTCCACGCGTTATGCGTACGACATAAAATGTAATATTGTACAAAATAATGATCGCATAGTATAATATAATATAATATAATATGTAACTTCGGTTCACTTACCAGCAGTGACGTTGACCACGGGTACTTCACATTTTCCGCCCGTGAATCCAGCAGGACAATTGCATATCGCGATCGACCGGCCGACGTGTCTGAAAGAACACACACGTTATAAACGTTTTAGCAGAGAATCCCATTAATTAAACTTCACGACTATTTGTTTAGTAACATAGGCCCTGTCAACGGTTTACGCAGCTCGTTTATCACACTTATACATATACATATTATATTGTATGAAAAATGTGTGTTTTTGTGTGGGTGTGCAGCAAACCGCATCTACTTCCCCCGAATAATACAATTCGTGAAGTTTTTGAGCTTTTTATTATTATTGTTATTACATTATAATATTCCAACCCTAAAATTTTATATTCCTACCCTTCGAGTCGGTCGTCGTTTCTCACAACCGGAATATATTAATAGTCAAGTGCATTATGCGTATCATAATGTTATACAAGGTGATTCTTTTAGAGGTCAACATTATATTTTACCATCGTTTTTGAAACTAAAAATAAAATGATTTTAAGTTATACTACAAAAAAATATTTTTTTACAAAAAAGTTAATACTTTTGGAGAAATTGAGTGTTTATCTTTGACAGTATTACCTTGTATACTAGAAGCTAACATGAGTATATACCGACCCTTAGGAGTGCAGACTCCGGATTCTTGGAAAGAGTGAATCGGTGAGCGCTCCGCCAAAATTACCAAAATAATTAATTCAATGGGTATAACCTGGCGGTTATTGAAAAACAGAATAGAAAAAAAAAAGGATATTTTTATCAACTGGCCGTGTCGGTATTTGATGGAGCTATCAAAAACGTACCGATGAATATTATTATTACCAACGAAATGAGCACTATATGAAAAGCATAATATTTTTTATTTTTACTGTCCATTGAAACTAGTAAAAATAATAAATAACAAAATTTAAACTCTCGATGATTTATGTGACTTGTCAACAGCGTCGTAAATACTAAGCATTTAAAAAAGCGAAAGTTTTGGATAATTCCCTCAACGACCAAATTCTGCTCCACTGAACACTCAGAGCTCTGATTTCGGTCCATTATAGCAAAGCACATTGTCCAAAAACATTTTAAACCGTAAAATGCGGTTTAAATCTATCGTGTGGACCCTATTTAAAGTACTTTAAAAATTAAAAAAACAACACACTACACTACACACACGAGTGTGTGACTTCGGTTCGTATTTAATCGTTGGATTATAATTTCTTTTATACCAATAGAATCTATCCAAATTAATGAAGATCAATAATGCCACTATAATTGAACGAATAATTATTATTTTAAATTTGTAGTTAAATATAATCAATCGAATTTTAAATAATGGTCGTAACTCGTAGGTATTTAATGTTTACGGCCCATGCACTACTATACATATTTTAAATATTTGTATCATTGACTTCGATTTGATAGGATATTGAATATATTATTCATACACTTTATAATATAATATTATGTTTATCGTTTGAAAAAATATCATACAAACAACAACAGTTTTCTGATTTATTTTTAGGAATTCTTTGAACACTATGCAAAATTAAGTGAAAATTTTTATGATTTTCATATGAACATGAGCATAACATGTTTAGAGTTCAGTTATATTATATAAACTTATTTTATGATTAAGCAATAAATATAATTTAAGTCCAGTTAAATTTTGATCGTTTGTTGACACTTTGTATAATTGAACGTTAATGTTCAAAATGTAATAATGTCGTAAAAAATGAAAAAATCTGATTTCAGTTTTCCAATACACATTCGTTTTTACATCTGATAACACATTTTCAAGTAAATAAATTCCTTCAATCTGCATAATAGAGGGTTATTTCTGATAAAATATTTAATATTGATGGTTATTTATTGAGGTCAAAAGTAAAAACTCTCACTACTTTGTTAAATAATCGAGATTAACTCTGTCCTACAGAAGTCAAGTAAGTCCATTATTTTTCATGTACTATTAGTTGGTTCTATAATCATAATAGGTGCACCTATGGACATTATTAGAACAAGTTTAAGTCCAACATACATTTGATTCATATATAGTAAGAAGTGTACTAAAATAAGTTCTAAAATCTAAACTGTGTATGGAGTTGGTGCCAGTTAAAATAGTGAAAAATAGAGAAAAATAACGAAAGATAAAATTGCAAAAAATAATCAGCGAATTACAATAGGCTATTCCATTAAATTAACTGTTTATCATATTTGTTAGTTGATGATAAACTATAAATTCTAATTTGAATTTCTTACATCATAATAGTCATATTATTTACTATATTGTTTAATGAATAAAATTCGAAAACAAACACCAAAAAACCATGTAACAATGTTTGTTTTGTCTCTACTGTCAAATTTGGATTTTGGGAAATTTCGATACTAGAATTCTATGGTATAGAATTAAGAACACAAAACAGTGGGATAATGGGAATATTATATTGATAAAAAATTTACTTTGTTTTTTGTTGTAATTTATATAGGAATTAGTGTTAGGACTATGCGTTTTCTTAAAAAATTTTTAATTAACTTTTATTATACAATTTATATAATATTATAGTATTAGATTTTTTGAGCTCATTTTAAACATTGCGAAATTTCAACTTTTTAATTTTTTTTATCTATGTTGATAAAATATATTATCTTTCTATATAAAAAAAAAACTAAAAATGTAGTACAAGGTTAAAAGTAAGTTTTCCTCAAAACCGCTCATAATCACTAATAAGTGGTATTTATTTTAAAAAGTTAATTATCATGTAGTTATTTTAATTTAAGTAATTGGTATTATATATTTTTAATTAATCAGATGTTATCATAATAAATTCCTATGTTGTTTAGAAGTGTTTATGTTCTTACCCTATAAGTATATTATATATCTCTTTCTGGAAAAATGTATCTGGGAAGGGGAGGGAGGAAATTAAAACGAATGGTATTAGATTCCTAAATATGATACAGGTACCATAAATACAATAATTGTTCATCTAATTTTTATTATTATGTTCAACTTGAAATAACATAAGCATAAATTATAGGCATAACTATGTAAATTCATGAAATTAAAATTGTAATTGGTTATGAAATCGACAAAATCAACAGCAATTTAAAAAAAAATTCTAGTAAAGTCACCCATAATCGATTTTTGGAACCTTTATGTGATAAAATGCCACTCTTATAGTCTTATCTCATATTTTTATTTTGATAGGTATGTAAAATATAGGAAAATTAATTAATTTCCCTATATTTTACATATTCTTGTCTTCTATCATCGATGTCATAGATAGATATCTAATGTTTTTTTTTTTTTTTTTTTGTATTGTATCGCAAGTTTTATTTTCTGACACTGAAAAATTGTCTAAGTCTTTGAGGTATAACATTTTATGAGATAAAATTAATCTAACGTACCAGACAGTATTTATCGATACTTTCACTTAACATTTCATCGTCTTTAAAACCGATATTACATTTTTTGAATATTATTTTTTTTTTTTGTAAAAATGTATCTCTTTTGAACCATATTAATAATTTATGGTTTAAATTCAATAAAAAACAAAAAATATATATAAATAATATATTAAAAACTATAAGGTATTAAAAATGACCAACATGCATGTGTTTTTTAGAAATAATCGACCGAATATTTAATTAAAATTAACTTTAACATTTTAAGCAGGGCCTTGCACCCGCATAATTTATTTGAGTTTCGAGGTTTTGGGTGCATGATATATTCTGGTGTTCAAACACCGGAATTACAATTTCTAACAAACGTTTGGGTGTTAATAGAATAGTTATTATTCAGATTAATACGGGTGTTCAGTAGTTCAGGAAAAACCTAATTCGTAAACTGTGTACCTCATTTGTCTTGTATGTATGAAGGACTCTTATTCACATAATGAAAAATATTAATACAAAAATACAAACTCACGAAATTTACAATAAAATAATAACAGCAAGCAAAAATTTACAGTTATAAAAACAATTATAATTCACAGTTCCACTAATCAAATACCAATAACTCGAAAAAAAGATTCATAACTTAAGACACAATATATCACTTTCAATGGATAAACTTGATTAAAATATTATTTAAAATATTTAGTAATTTATATAATATAAATGAAAAGCTGTTAACCGCATCAATTGAGAACGGGTGGACAAATTTGTCTCATTTTTCTTCAATAATCTTAATATTTTGAATGAAGTTTTTAAGGAAAAAAAATTGGAAAAATTGACCAGAAAATTAAAAAAATTAGGGAAAATCTGATCGCCTTATTCATTGGAATTTTCTATAAATTACATTTTGTTTCTAAATGTTTGCTAGGTATAACATATTATAATAAAGTTATTTATAGTAGAAATAAGTATTTGTTCTATATAATTGATGAATTCCATATATAATATTATAATTGGTTATATAATTGGATATAATAATTTTAACTTATGATTTTGATATTTGGTCACTTCATTTTTTACATTAATTGGTTTATTTGAAGTTAATACACTCAAAGTAGCACAGTACTCGATATTTTTCCTATACAAGGAAAATCTATGAATCATAAATATGTTTTTTGAAATAAGTAACCATGACAAGGAAAACCTTAAGAAAAATCGGTCAGAAACAAAACAATCTTGTATCCATACCGTTATAAAAATAGAATCTTTGAGACTTGGATGGTGTTATTATTTTGTTTTTTCAACCCCTATTGGAGGATATAGCTCAGTACTCACACATCAGTTACATATGATATTAGTATATTACTATATTAATTAGAAGAAATATGGCCTACCTATATTTTTTTTACTAATATAATAATAAAAAAAAAAACATTTTTGGCACGGGACTATTAATATACAATAATGGAATAAATTTAGATTTCGTAGTTATTGGGAGACGGTCAAACATACCCTTGATTCGAAGTGCTTAAGTTGCCCATCCCCTCCCAATGGTTAAATAATATTTGAACTACTTTTTTACAAAATAAACAAAAACCTAATTGTAATTGATTTACAAAAATATATTAAATTCATTTACCATAATATGTTATGTTTTGTAACTTAATGAACATAATATAAGCAACGATATTCTTGATGCTATCATAATAATTCCCATTCACAATAATATAAACAAAATATTTCATTAATTTTTATCAAATATGTTAGGTATGAAGCTAATTAAATGGTAAGTAATTCAATGATTTATTGAAAAAATAATATTTTCAGTTAATTCTTTTAAAATTAACTAATAACTATAGCCGAAAATCCGCCATTTATTATAATACAAATAATAATACTATTTTTATCAATTATTGGAAACATTACATGTTTTAGGTTAGAAATGTGTATTAAAATAATCAACGCGCAATATGTTAACAATTAAAGTTTACAAGTATTTTATTCGTATTATTCAATGTAAACTGTTTAAACATTATCTGTTTGTCTATTAGTGAATAGTTGGTACTTCTATCAAGGTACGTGATTAGTTCTTGTTACGTCTCACGAATTGTTGTGGAAATTAATCTCGCGATATGATTTGCATGTGTTGACTAGTGGCCGCACAAAAGCCGAAGAGAATAGGGTCGAAACGGGACAAAACCTAGAAGAGAACAAACATAAATGCTTGCTCAGGTGAATATTTACACCATCCTTCGTCATCATTTCCAGGTTATTGTAGGAAAAACGATAGGCAAGCACGATTATTGTAGAACCCAGTGGAAGGAAAACAAGATGATGTTATAAATGAGCGTTCATTTATAAAGCCGTCCGTCGCCCCACGTCTGTCTTCATATTATATTAGGTAGGTAACCATGGTAATATCAATCTAACTGGAAAATTCAAATAGTATATTTTTCAAATATTTACTATTATACTAGGTGTGTAAAGGCAGGCGGGGCTTATTGTGCTTATGATTCTCATTGGTTCCGATGCATGAGTGATAATACGTACCTAGGTGAGTAATGCTATAATAAATAATAATAATGTTATATTATTATGAATTAAGGAGATGATTTTTGAGTGATATTGGGAATTAAATACTCCTGCTGTTTCCACTACTATAACTATGTAAAAATAAAGAATGGTGACAGAGATGGAACTAAGTTAAATAGGTGCTCTACAATTGAATACCGAAAAAACAAAATAAATGTAAACCTTTTTGGCACAAATGACTAACATGCAAATGAAGATGTCATCAAACATTTTCAAGCTGCTTTTAGATTATGTGTTGGGAACATGAACTATATCAGTATCAGATATTGTGCAAGGGTATTCGCAATTGATCGGAAATCGGACATACCTAGATGGTAATTTATTAGTTAATTTATAAATTAGTAGATGAGTTTAAAATAATACTTTGGAAAATAATTTCATAGAAATGTGATTCGTTCATAAATAATGTATCGAGTCTACTGAGTTCCAATTTTTTTAGAATAGAATGTAATTTTATTTAAAAATATTATTTTTTGTATTTGTTATTTGAACAAATGTAAATACGGTCTTAAATGGATCACAGATAAACACATATACGTATAGTAGAGACGGTATCTGCATGCCAATGTACGTTAAGAGGCTGTGCTACTGCCAATTTATAAAAAAAATATTGGTTCATGTAGAATCAATCATATTAATAATGGTCGGTATACTGACATTGTATCTCTCTAGATTAATCTATTCATTATACCTATGGAAGTATATAAAATATATATTAAATGAGTAGAATATTTAGCACTCTCCACTGTTAAATATTTATTATTTGGGTGAATAATAGTAGACCATTGAAAAAATTATATAACTGTAAAAAGTATAACACAATTTTAAGTGTTGAACTACAGCTGTATAATACTAAACTGCAGGATATTGGTGTGAACGAATATGAATGTAATATAAATGTGAATAAATAAGCCCAATAATATGTTTTAATGCAATTGTATTGTTTTAAATCACATGATCAAATTTCTACCTACATCGATTTACTAAAAATATCAAATAAATTCTGAGTCCAACTTTTATTTAATACTTTATGCATATCATAAAAATAAATTAAAAAACAATTAATAAATCATATTAAGATCCCAATTCTTAAAAACAAGGAAAGTTTACTAAAAATGTAAACTTTATATTTAACATTTTCTAACAAGAAACTTTAAGCTAAATATACTTTCATGTTTTATATTTGTTTGTAAAATATTAATTTGAGGCATAATTTTCTAAGAAACCATTTATGAATTTAAATTACATTTTTTCGATTAATATTTAATTCAAAATAATATATATTTTATTGAAATTCATACGTTCCTATGAAATGACTTTTAGAACTGTAGGTTTTTATACGTCATAAATTCCAAAGAAAGTGTATAGATTAACGTGTATTAATTTCAACATTAGTTTTAATATCATTACTATATTTTTGACTTCCTCATTTTTATAGTTATCTTATAATATTTCGGGTTGTAGTGAGAATATAAATTTCCTAAATTAAACAAGAAATTAAGGAGATATCACATAAATACGCGCACCGAACATTGTAGTTTTTAAAATTGTATCACATATTACAAACCACCGGATACCTATACCTCGTATCGTGTCAAATATTAGGTTGGCCATTAATCCCTGTGCACAAGCTTTCATTTTTGAACCATCACAATATTTGATATTTTTTAAAGTAAAAAAAATTGCATGATAAAAAAAAAAATAAGATGTACTTACGTAATGCTCACTCACGATTTAGTGCGGCCTAAGACACAATGGTTTGAAATAATGTGTGATAAATATGGTCTACTGAATATTTTAAATTTGACAGATTATAGACAGAATATTCAAATTCGTAGAAAATAAATATTTAAATTCTATTAAAATAATTAATATGCTAATTTTGAATTAAACCCATTGTATCGAAAGATTAAAATCAAAAATAATTCTAGAATCGTTTATGTTTGTTTTTCTTGAACTATTATTATTCTGTATATTATAAAAAAAAATATAAACACTCGAAGCAGAGTAGACCTCGTTTTTGCGAGAATTGTCGGACGAATAGCTTTTTATATTTTTTAATTATTAATTATGTTAAATCAATGCTACTCAACCGTGAAAAACAATTTTTGTGCTATTAAATATTAATGTAGTAAATGTGTCAATGAGTAAAAAAGCAATAACAAATATGAAAATTCATTATTAAAACAGCTTTATATTATTTTTTGACACTCGTGAAATCATGCATTTTATAGTTTTGAATAACAATAAATATTTGAAATGGAATTCACAATTCAGTGAACAAGCCACTCCAATAGTTCCAATAAGTTGTAACGACACTTCGAGATCAATAGCAATTAAAACTATAAGTTCATTATGAAACAGTTGCACGTTAAACTAGCGGAAATTATGGTAACGAAAAAACCCAGTTATTTTGTGCTATTGGTGTGTTTTGTAATTTATTTTCACACATCTTGGATTTTTACCCTCAAATTTTAAATATTACATGAGAATATGCCAAGTATTTTTCATAAACTCAAAATTTAAAAGTTTTAGACATTTTATGATTTAACATTGACAACAGTATATTTGAATAAAACGTATTGATTTTTTAAAAATTTTCAATTTCAGGAAAACATATTTAACTAATTTGTAACACCTAAGCACATAAATCAAAGAAAATAAGTTTTTCTTTTTTAATTAATAATACCTAAGTGTCTACTGAAAATAGTACAAAAAAAACTATCGAGGATATTAACAGTTGTTACCAACAAAAATTAAAAAATAAAGTAGAAAGTTTCTACCTTTCAACTTGCAAAACTCAGCCAAGGACTAAGTTTTTAAAAAGGGGAATCGGATTATCGTATCGGAAAAAAACAACGTAGGTACTAGGTAAATAAATATAAAAAATATTATGGACAAGTTAAAATGTTTTTCACCAGTTTGATGTTTCCCGATCTAACTTTTACATTAAAAAAATATACATAGGTAGTATATACCTACATCTCAAACATATCTTATTATATCACAAAATATTATTAAACAGTGTTTGTATGGCATACATCGTCAAGAAATTTCGTATGAATCATCTAAAAACAATACCTTATGTGATAATGCGAATATAGGTACGTTATAATCAACGAAACTTTAAAACAAATTTAGGTCAGAAATTTTTTGAGTAGGTAGTGTAACTTATTTGACTGATCTATGTAAATCATATTATACAGTCATCGGAAAGACAACGAGGTGTGAACTGAAAATCAAGGAAGGAGCATTTAGGTAGGCCAACCACCACCAGTTTTTATACATCAAGCATTCGGAGAGAGGCTCAAAAGTCTAAGGCCATGAAACCTCAACGCAGAAAACGGGTCATTCAGCGATTGCAGTCTAGTCACCCGGGGTGTTGACCAGTTGTTCTCAACGGCTGTTTTTTAGAATTTTGAAAATACAACTGTTGCCCTTACTTACATATTATCAAAAAACACGATTTTATTACCAACCCGTAAAATAGGAGATAGGTTGTATAAAATATAATCCTTGTATACATAATAAAACTAATTTTGCCAGTCCACCCATGCGGACAAGTACGAATGCTTAAAAAACAAGTAGTCATTGGGTCATAAGTACCTACTCCTAATATATATAATATTATATTATATTAAGGAAAATCAATATAATATAATCGTTTTTAAATTATTTATTCAATATGGTCTATACATTTATAGTTATAGGAAATAGGAATTCAAAAATTTATTTTACATATACATACTCATAAATACCAACGATTATTAATTAACAACCTTATCATAAAGTATTGAATCTTTTAATTTTTTTTTTTTTAATGAGGAGAGCTATTTCCGAAGAAATTTAAAGTATATTATACTTAGATAAGTAATTTATAATTAAATAAAATTTACCTGCAAACTCCACCGTTCTCGCAGGAATCTGTATTGTTCAGCTTGCAAATAGGACCATATCCACAATCCTCGCCAGAAAATCCAGGAAAACATGAACATTTATATTCTCTGAAATTAGAATTAAATAATTTAGCAAACAGAATTTATACATTACAATAATATAGGTACATTATATCATACATAATACAAAATTCATCCTAAGAAATGTATCTACTTAAATAATATTTAATAATATATTAGATTGTATGATTCACTAATTAGTCTTCCCTAAAGTTAGAAATAAATTCAATAAGTTTAATCCACTATTTGTTTTTTTGCAAACTTTGTGTATGTTTTAATAATAATTTTTCGATTTTTGGTAATAACTAATAACTATCCTCTTTTTAAAATTTAAACACTACATTGATAAAATTGATACATTGATTACATTTTAAGAATTGTATTATTTAGTAAATTATATGACTCCTTGATTTAAACTATTGTTAATTTAGTTTTATTTTATATTTGTATGTATTTATTTTTAGTTTATATTGTTCTGTCTTGAACTCTATTCAAACCTTAGTCATAGGCTTTAGTTATTAAACCAAACCTGTAATATTAGAGGTATAATAATATTATTATTATGCTTAAGGTTTCGACGACTGAGGTCATTAGCCTGTAGGTTGGTGGGGTTGGTACAGTAAGTTTGGGATGGTTTATACGGTCGGTTAGGAACAGTGTATATTGTGTGGCAAGGTTTTTGAGTACTACGAACCCGGGTGGTCACCCATCCGAGAACTAGTTGCAGCGGCTGTTGCTTATTCTCAATCACGTCGGGTGATTGATGTCTTCCACCGCGCCGAGCCACATATCTGATATCTACTATATTATTGTATCAAACATTTTTTGTCGTTAGTCAATAATTAATGTTTTATTATTATTATTAATTTAGACTCGATTTATATTTAGGTTTAGTTTTTAAACCATTCAATATTGGAAATTTCTAAAAACGTTTTAACTAACATTTTAATAACGTATTTTAATTTCTGAAATTTATCGTCACCAGTATGCATTTATAATATATTTACTATAAAATCTTAGTCATAATTGAAAGCTATATTTTAAGTGGTCGTCAGATTTTGTCTTTAGTCGGTGTGAACTTTACTTCTGTGCATAATAATAATACATTAATATGTATTCATATCTGATGACACTTCTCAATTCGACATGAACTTTATTTTATAATAATAAAGTTCATGTATCGTTAAGTTTTTCATAATTATACTGATATTGTGATACAATAGGTTGTATAAAGTTTTTAAAAAACAGCTATATATACATCTAAAAAGTGGAAAGTAAAAAAAAAACTTAAATTAAATGTTCTATTGTATAGAATATTCATTTTAACATAAACCTAAACGAACTGTGGTCAGGACCACCTACATCTATACTATGGTGTAATTATATTACCTATACCACACGACTGTATTAATATCCCAAATATGAATCGATTTGTGCACATTAATGAGAAATATACTATTCCAATGACCGACTTAATGCCTAACTCTTATAAGTCATGCCTCATGCTATACAAACATCTGCACATGTTTAGAATTGATAATACTATTAACATAAATAGATCCCTCGAGTAGAATATTTATGATTTATAGTATTCAAACTTATCTACTAGGAGTTTTTATAAGTATTATATATTATATATATAAAAAACTATACTATCAGAGTCTGATATCAATAAAACGTAAACAGCCAATGCTTTTAGAATTTACGAATGTTTACGATTAAAATTAATTTTCTGTTTGTATACACTATAATATATTTGTTCAGTGAATAATAGGTAATAATTATGCAGAACAGCCATTAGCGCTTTATTTACTCAACTTTATGTGTAGGTACACTATGTTTGAATTCGAAATTACCTATATGTTTACCGATTGCTATAGAAATCTCGATCCTTTGTGTACCCTCATCCCTTCTCCACCAAATTGAAACGACAGTTCTCGAAAAATTGTTTATAAATTAAAATTTATAATTTGTTATAATATAAGAGTAAATGCCATTAACAAATTACAATTAATATCAAACAATATGTGTTTTTAACCTAAATCTATTATATTGGTACATACTAATATTTGCACTTGTATAACAATAACAATGATATTATGACGGATAACGATAACTCCGTAGGTTGTACAAATAAGAAATGGCGAAATAAATATTGATAGTAGTAAAACTAAATAAAAAAAAATTATAACTTCAAAGTATATAATTATATTATATTAGGCTATATGTTATAGCACAGAGTAGTATATTTAATTTGTATAATGTAAATACATTTTTATTTACGAGGCTACTTTTATAATGTAATTAAATAAAATAAATATACAGGCCGATTGATCATCTGACGTTAAGACTAACATTTTTTTTATTTGTCATTGTATATTATTTTTAACCCAACAGTTATGATACAATAAGCATGATTTCTAATAGAATTATTATATAAATATATGTTAATTTGTTGAAGAAACCATTCTGCGATGATAGCACTTCAGCATAATATTATATATTATACATTAAACATCATACGTAGATTTATTTTCTTTTTCAAAATAATTTAAATATATTCTGATTCATGTCTTTATATATTACAGACATTTCCCCTCATTCTTTACCACTTTTTAAGTGCATAAACGTATTTGTGTATAGTCGAATTTAAAGGTACATTTTATATACTCATTTAAACATTTGTAATTTGCTCAATTGTTTTTACCCAATTAAGGTTCTTAAATCAACTAAATGAATCCGTGGAATATATATATTGATTTCAACTAATTTAAAAGTAATTCAGATAAATTTACAGAAAATGGAGGTTACACGTTAATATAACCACTCTGTATAATGGCTTTAAATTATGTACTTGCTAAATAACAATCAACATAACTTAATTTTTCAGGAGATAGTGGGCTTGTCTTATTTGTATTATATTATGTCCATTGATCTTCTTTTTGGGTAATTTATCATTCTAACCAACAATTATCTTGCTCAGATAAAAGCGTACAATAAATTTTTGCACGAAATAAGTCAATTCAATTTGTTATATTCGCTGTAATGATGTTTATTTATTACAACAAATTTAAAAAGTATGTATTTTTTAATTTTAGGTGCATAGAACGTTTAATACAGAAATCGGCATCGTCAGATAATAAAATTAAGGGATTGACACCGATATTAATAAAAAACAATATTTAATAATAAAATATGAAGAATTTAAAACAATTTCATATAGGTGTCTATGGAATTTTTTTTTTTCAAAAATATCTTTTAAACTTTTGCCTCATATACAAGTCATACACATACATATATCATTCTACGTAATATACGTATATTACCTGCACCTAAAATCTCAAAAAAAATTTTTGTTTAGAAGTTAACAATATAAAATATGTTTAAAGTATATACATATTATATTATCTTACAGGCTTAAATGATGAACGCAAACACAAAAATACTCAACGTTAACATATACTTGTTTAATCAGAGCTGATATTCATGTCAAACGGCAACAATATAGATACATGTAAAACTGTTGATATTTTATGTAAATAAAACAGTTAAAAAAATATGCCAATAATAATAATAATCATCGACGCGAGCCTACTTCTGAAGAAAAAAAATTACAACACGGGTAGTACTGTAATCATGATTACTATTTACCTTAGTGTTTTACTTAGTATTGATACATCGTTATATTTTTATTGTAAGACACATAAATATAATATATTATCTTCAAAAATAATAAGTAAACAATTTTTAAACATTGACAAAAATTACGATCCTCATATTATCTTTAGTTTGTATCAGTAAATATTTTAAAGGATACCCATTTTTCTAGTGATTATTTTTCTAAACATCAAAATGATAAAGGTTGTTGAGATAATATTGTTTGAGAAAAAATAATACATTTTAAATATTTTAATACCTAACTAGACATATGCGAACGAAATATGAATAATCGCAATACCACGCCCTACCGTACTTGTTAAATAATAATATACATATAATACTGTTTTTTACCAAACGTGTACAGGGTATTATACATCAAATACCGTAGGCAGGTATAATCAGTACAATTAATAATTTTAACGTACTACCTACTGGTGGTAAATATATACACCGATGGAATCGAATTCAACACGGGGCGTGTGTAGACATAATATACGATGTACGTACGTCATATATATAAGGTCAGTCTCGCAGAGATTCGGTATAACTGACCTATATAAGATTGATCGTCACGCATTCGCGGTCGCCACCAATCTGAACGTTGAAGAATAGTAGACGCAATATAGCTGCGGCCTGCAGGTACGGTATAGCTGGTACCTCCTATATAATATATAATAATAGACAGCATTACGAGTGGGTGGGTAGATGCTGCAGGTTCAGCAGGAAATCCATTTCGGTGAGGAAAAAAAAACACTAGGCCGTTCAATTATCTACCGAAAGAGTGTGTTTGACAGATAGTTCGACGCGTGGTAAACGGCGAGCCGAACTTGAAACGTCCGACCGCGTGTATATTATACGAAGACGCCTCCCCCACCCCCATTCTGGCATTATCACGACCGTTGAAAAAAATAACGCGACCAGCTAAAACTTAAGTTCCGTTACATTATTATTATGTTTGAGCGTGTGGTTATTGTTCAGAGTGCTGCGCGTTGCTAACGAGGCCACTAAATTAATAATATTGCGTACTCAGGGAGCGAATCAAGCGGACGAAAAATAAAAGGCGGAATCCGCCGAGGTCCTGACGTTAATAACGCAGTGAAAACAATAAAAATATACGGATTCTTTTTCACCACCACTATTTCCGGTTGAACGGACGATTCGGATGACTAAAAAAAAAAAAAAAAATCACTAGAGCAATTAAACGGGGTGGATTCTTTTTATTATATTATTTATCCCAGGAACACACACACACACGCACGCACAACCAACAGATGCGGAAAAAGAATATCTCAAAAACTTGACCTTTTTATTATACCTACGCGTAATATATATACTTATGTTTCTTTATTCTTACGTACCTATACAGTCGGAAACGCCATAAAAATAAA